GGGAGACACAGAATCGGAAACAGGCTCCAGGCTCTGAGCCATCAGCCAGAGCCTGACGCAGGGCTCGAACTCACGGACCGCGAGATCGTGACCTGACTGAAGTCGGACGCTTAACCGACTGCACCACACAGGCGCCCCAAGATGATTTTTTTTATGTTTATTTTTGAGAGAGAGAGAGAGAGAGAGAGACACACACACACACACACACACGGCACGAGTGGGGGAGGGGCAGAGACAGAGAGACACAGAATCGGAAGCAGGCTCCAGGCTCCGAGCTGTCAGCACACAGCCCGATGCGGGGCTCGAACCCACAAACTATCAGATCGTGACCTGAGCCGAAGTTGGACACTCAACTGCCTGAGCCCCCCCCCCCCAGGCGCCCCTGAAGAGAATTTAAAAGAACTCCTGAACCTCCATAATCTAAAAAAACCCCTAAATTTCTAAAAATAGGCAAGAGACTGGAGCACTGCCTCACAGAGAAGATAGACACGCGGCAGCAAGCACGCGAACAGCGTGCAGCGTCATTAGTCACCAGGGAAGTGCAACCTGAAACCACAGAATGGCTACCGTTAGTCCCGACCCACCTTCCCAAGTGCAGATGACGCATGGAGCAGGTAGAAGTCACACACAGTGGGGGGGGGGGGGGGACAGAGTGGGGCCACCACTTTGGGAAACAGAGTGGCAGTTTCTTGTATGAAGTTACACACACACACACACACACACACACACACACACACACACGCCCTTACCACGTGGTCCAGCCGGTCCACCTTTGGAACTCACCCAAGAAGGCCTATGCCTGCGAAGTGGCTTGTACGACAATGTCCACAGCAGCTTTGTTCGTAAAAATCAAAACCAGAAACAACCCAAGTGCCGTCAGCAAGGAAGTGAAGAAACAAATCCTGTGCATCCAGGCGCTAGAGGGGCCGCGGGGAGGCAGAGCCGCCTCCTGGGCTCAAGTCCCCCCGCCCCAGGGAGGGGGGCCGCGCCGGCTCTCTCACACATGCCTTCTGGGCTTCCTCCGAAGCATTTCGTTGAAAGTGCTTTGAGTTTCTACCAAAAGACACTCAGAACCTAGCAGAGTTTCGGGTGTAAGTGCCCTCTGACCCGGTAACTGCAGTTCTGGAACTGTCAGAGCAGCGCACAGGCCTCTATTCCTGCCCTGCGTGAAGACAGAACGTTCACCCGACTTCAGTGTACACCAGCAGTGGCCAGTTGAGTGTCCACCGAGAAAGAAGCAGAGGGCGCATCTGCTGAGGTGTAGCGACAGGAGAGGTGGGTGCCACGTGCGGTGCGCGTGGGGAGGACAGGCTGGCTTACCACCCGGTAACCGAGAAAGGTCCGAGCAACATCCACCAACCGCCAACAGGAGCTGCTCCCGTTTCCCCGGGGGTCGGTCCTTTTCCATTACAAAAATAGTAAGTATGTCTTCCTTTGTAATCTCGATTTAAAATTAATTAAGTTTGGAAAACATTATTGGATCGCTTAAGAGGTAAAAATTCGTGGGACGCCTGGGTGGCTCGGTCAGTTAAGCATCAGACTCTTGATTTTGGCTCAGGTCATGATCCCATAGTTCGTGGGTTTGAGCCCCAAGTCAGGCTCAGTGCTGACAGTGTGGAGCCCACTTGGGATTCTTCCTCTCCCTCTCCCTCTGCCCCTCCCCTCCCTCGTTCTCTCTCTCTGTCTCTCTCTCAAAAATAAACATTAAAAAAGGTAAAATTCGGTAAAATGTTTTAAATCCCATCTGATTTTAGGAAAGGGTGAGTTTTATAGATGAATAATATACCTTCTTAATTGAATTTCATTCTAAACAAATGAGAGCGGCAGAGATAAATCTTAAAATACCAGTTTTTAAAAGAAAATACCAAGAAAATCATTAAATTTACTGATATTAACTGGACCGGAAAGCGTGTGTTTCTAAGACCTCCTTCATCAAAACCTCTTTTTAGAACACATCCCTCAGGAGCTCTGGAGATGGGGAGACACGTGTTCCGACCCCAGGTACTCCAGGGGCAGGAAGGGGGTCAGTGGGCGTGTCCGGATGTGCACGCTGCATGCATGTCATAGAAGCCATCACATAGGCAGCTACATGTATTTAGCTGCTGGGTTAAGGCAATGCTCCCAGACAGGAAGCCCTCAGAAGGTGACCAGGGGTGGCCAGGCCCTACACCAGCTTCCGATGTTCTCAACCATGTTCATCTGAGTTCAAGAAGGAAAGAGAAGATGGCCTGGGTGAGGGTGGGCATGAAACCATGAGCCATGTGGCCCTCCTAGTGACCAGTGTCCCATGGCTGGCCACACGCAGACCAGCTGCCCTTAGCATCAGGGTCCAGCTATGTCTCCTCCTCCAGGCGACCTTTCTGAATCTCCGTGACAACGTTGGTGTCCCCAAAGGCACCCATGGAAAACATGCAAAACGTAGACTATAGGACAGACATGAACTCAACAGCGGAAGGCAGGTTCTGAACAGAGGGGCCTCTGCTGCATCAGCTCAGCCATCCCGGAGCTCCCCGTGGCCTCTCGGCATCCTGGACGTTGCTGGTCCTCCCATCCACTGAGAGGAGGGGCCTCTGGGCTGGCTTTGCCTCCTGCGCTACCGCACCCAGGCACTTGTTCATTCGCATGTCACTCAGCAGGCTGGGCCCTGTGCCGGATGCCAAGGGCCCACTGAAAGCAGAGGGGACATGGGCTGCCTTTGTCAGGCCAAAGGGGGCAGGAGGCCTAGATGCAAGGCATCAGCACACCTCATCTGGAGCAGCAGCCCAAGTTCCCTCACCCACAGCCAGCCCCTTCCCCAAGACCCTCCCCCCACGCATGCCCAGCCACCCCCATGCAGGAGCCTGCTCCCATCAGCCACCCTGACACCTGCCACACAGTGACAACTGTTCCTTCATTGGAGCCGCCTCATTCCCAGCTCACAGAGGGACAATCAGTGTGCACATGCATTCTCCTTTTTTAGGAGACCTTAAAAGGTTATTTATTTTGAGAGAGTGGGGGAGGGACAGAGACAGAGAGCGAGAGAGAGAGGGAGAATCCCAAGCAGGCTCCATGCTCAGCACAGCGCCCAAGCAGGGCTTGGTCCCAAGACAGGGAGATCACTACCTGAGCCACCCAGGTGTGCTGTGCACACGCGTTCTCCTGTGGGGCTCAGCCCAGGTGGATTTCCTGACTGTCCTCAGCACTTGCCTGATGCAGAGTAAGTTTGAGAAAGTGACATAATGAGTAAACAGTAACTCCAGTTGGTTGCCGCTCGTTGGCCCATGCGGAAGCCTTCCTGAGCTCAGGAGGGTCGGGATGAAACCCCGCCTCATCCTGGAGGCCCTTGATCTGGGGGTGGGACGTGGGTGAGAACAGGTGCATGAGAGCAAGGCCGTGCTTTGAGGCCTCCTGATGGTAAACATCAAAGCTGTCCTGGGGCATGCGGCCTGGACCCGATGGCCTGTTTAAGTATCTAGCTAACAGAAATAATCCAAAAGCTTTCTCTTTGAAGTCCATTTCAATTCAACAATATCTGTGGAAAGCTACACCCATAGGAGACACTGCTTCATTTAGGAAACAAAATACAAGAAAACAGAGATTCTGGCTCTAGTGAATGGGTAACGAAGAGACAAATGCCACAATTTCGGATACTGGAGAGTGAGCTACAGACAGGCGAGGAGAGGCTAGAAGAAGCTGCTGACTCTGGACCAGAGGCGGGTCTCATTCCAACCTTCATGTGGACAAAAAGACAAGCATGAAAAATGACTTCTTTTAAAGTAGGCTTCATTGGGGCGCCTGGGTGGCTCAGTCGGTTAAGTGTCCGACTTTGGCTCAGGTCATGATCTCACAGTCTGTGAGTTCGAGCCCAGCGTCGGGCTCTGTGCTGACAGCTCAGAGCCTGGAGCCTGCTTCAGATTCTGTGTCTTCCTCTCTCTCTGCCCCTCCTCTGTTCATGCTCTGTCTCTCTCTGTCTCAAAAATAAATAAACATTAAAAAAAATTTTTTTTAAATAAAATAAAATAAAGTAGGCTTCATGCCCAGCGTGGAGCCCAACGCAGGGCTTAGACTCACGACCCTGACATCAAGACCTGAGTAGAGATCATGAATTGAATGCTTAGGTGACTGAGCCACCCAGGCGCCCTATTAGACACAGAAACAATCAGAGATGAGCCCAAATCCCCAGGCTCACGCATACTTGTGTTTCCTAGCCCTGAACCCCGAGACAGCGCAGGCACAGGACACCATCTACACCATGTAGTAGCAGCAAACACCACACTCCAAGAAAAGAACCAAAACTCCTTGGGGAAATGTGAAGGAACCACTAAACTGTTTTCCAAAGTGGCCACAACCTTCTAGGTTCCCACCAGCCACATATGAGGGTTCCTGTTGCCCCCACCTTCCCAATGCGTGACGAGGGCAGTCTTTTCGTGGGTGTGCTGCGTTTCCCCCATGTCTAAGGACGCTGGGCATCTCGTCCTGGGCCGACTGGCCGTGAGCAGACCAAGGGTCACTGGTGGTGTTTTCAGGACCAGAGAGATGTGCGTGTGTATGTGCCGAGGGGGCCTTAGTGGAGAGGGGAAAGTTGGAAGCGTGAATGGGTCCGGGTCCCTGCCTCCCACAGCGGGGGGGTGGGGAGCGGGTCTCCCGGAGCAGAGATTGCCAGGTCCAGTCTAAGGCTCTGGCTGCTACTGCAGCTGTGAGCAACGCTAGGCCGCGGTGGCCATCCGCTTCTGCCTCGGACAGTGCCAGAGGCTGCCCCGGGCACTTCGTACACACTGTCTCATTAAACCCCCAGCCACCATGGGTTGACCGTCGAGACTCTCACTCAAGATGGTAGGGAGCGAAAAGCCTGGCACGCGGGCAGGTCCTGGGCTCAGCTGGGATGCCCACTCCAGGGCCACCCCCAGGAAGCAGGGTGGAAGAAAGGTGAACACAGCTCCGCCCGGGGGCCCGGAGCGGAGACCGTGGGGGATGCCGCCTGGGGTCCGCAGCACGCTCCACCTAGCCGTGCTCCGGCCAGCTGCCTGGGTGCTCACCTGGCCAGAGGTTGCCCCAAGGGGGTCCGCTCCTCCAGCCCCCGACTCCAGGTGCCTGTGGAGTGAGGGATGTCCCAACTGAGCGCAGGACCCATCCCGGGAAAGCAGGTGGGACGGGAGCACTCTCGTGCAGGGACACACCCTGCACAAGTAGCCCACACTGTCCCAGCAAGTATCTTCCCCTCTTAGTTTCTCCGGAGGCCTGCGCTCGGGGGACACCCCCGCAGCCACAGCAGCGAGCGCACCGGGGCCAACCCAAAGTCTTTGTAGCCAGACACTGCAGGTCAAGTCTTAGCAAATCTGAAGCATCTCGTCCAGACAAAGTCTGGAAGTTTCATAAGAAATGACACTTGAACTGGTAACGATGCAGCAAAAGGGCCTGAAGAAATACGTGGCCGGTGACAGAACGCCACACAGGCACGTTAGTCCCTGAATGTGGCCCGTGGGCATTCCATCACACCGTCACGGAGCTCAGCACTGCATGGAGGAAATTTTACTTTGTAGTACCTTTTTTAAAGTTTATTTATTTACTTGGGGTGGGGAGGGGCAGAGAGAGGGAGAGAGAGAATCCCAAGCAGGTGCAGAGCACCATGCAGGGCTCAGTCTCATGACCCTGGGATCATGACCTGAGCTGAAATCTAGAATCTTACATTCAACCTAGTGAGCCACCCAGGCGCCCCTGGGGCAATTTAAAAATGCATCTGAGGGGGCACCTGGATGGCTCAGTCAATTAAAAGTCTGACTCTTGATCTCAGCTCAGGTCTTGATCTCAGGGTTGTGAGTTCAAGCCCCATATTTGGCTTTGCACTGGGTGTGGCACTTACTTAAAAATGCATTTGAGCTGCCTTGTGTTTGCCGTAAGTTCAGATTAACGTTGCGTACTTTAGAATTACTGATCATAGAAAAATCAAACCAGAAGGAAATATGTTACTGAAAGGAAAAACTGAAGCAAAAAGTCTGGTAGAGACTTCAAAAACTCAAAAGTGTATCACAATGTCAACCAAACACTAGTGGTCAATATCATGAAAGTAAAGAATCTTGATAACTAAGAAAATATGGATAATGGAAGCGACAACAGTGAAATGAAGAATACTGTGAGAGCAGGACACCCCTCAACAGGAAGCAAAAAAGCAGAAGGAACGTGGTAGTGACCGACTGCATGGAAACTACGACACACCCAGCCAGCAGGGCGCCGAGGGTGGGCCTAGACCGCTGACTTTGAAGTCTCTTGACTTCATGGAGTACCAAGATGCTGCATTACACCTGTTACGATAAGCTATCATTCCCCCCAAGCCTGTTTAATGAAAAATCCATTTGTTTCAAATCATGATTCCATTTACAGAGATCCAGTAAATGTACAATGGGCAAAGATGCTTCTCAAAACATTTGAAAGAACTTTTTTTAATTAGTTGCCCTGTATTTTTATTTTTTTTAATTTTTATTTATTTTTATTTTTTTTTCAACGTTTATTTATTTTTGGGACAGAGAGAGACAGAGCATGAACGGGGGAGGGGCAGAGAGAGAGGGAGACACAGAATCAGAAACAGGCTCCAGGCTCTGAGCCATCAGCCCAGAGCC